ATCGCCTTACCCGAGCTCAAAAATGGGAAAGAATTGAAAATGGGTCGAAACCCCATTTCCACAACTTAAGTTCTGTTTCTGGGATTTTTACCCTTCGCGAACGCGGTCAGTGCCTCGCGTTCGCGAAGCGCATTTTTGTGCTGCCAAAACTTGCTCTTCGCGAACGCAAAGGCAATGTCGCGAACGCGAAGTCTTGCCAAATTTGGCCTTCGCGAACGTGATACACCCTACGCGAACGCGAAGCTTTAACGCTTGGTGCCCGGCCAGGCCTCGCCTTCTACGCGAACGCTTCCACGCGTTCGCGAAGAACACTGCCCTCTTCCCTTCGCGAACGCGTCCCACTCTTCGCGAACGTGAAGAGTAAATTTCACCTGCCTCCAATTTCTTCTTCGCGAACGCGAGCCACCTCTCGCGAACGCGAAGAAGAATACCAGAAGCAAATTTCTGCAGTTTTTCCCAAGTCGAAAAATGGTCCGTTAACCACCCGAAATCAACCTGAGCCCTCGGGGCTCCAAACCAAACATGCACCCAAGTCCTAAAACATCATACGAACTTGCTCGCACGATCAAATCGCAAAATAACACCTAGAACTACGAATTGGATACCAAATCAAAGGAAGTTTTCAATAAAACTTTAAAACTCATATTTTTACAACCGAACGTCCGAATCACGTCAAATCAACTCTGATTCTCACCAAATTCGGCATACTAGTCATAAATATTATAGTGGACCTATACCGGGCTTCAAAACCAAAATACAGGCCCGAGGTCAATAAATCCAACATCAGTAATTTCTTAAAACTCATTAAGCTTTCAAGCTTTTAATGTTTTCATCAAAATTCCATATCTCGAGCTAGGGACCTCGAAATTCGATTCCGGGCATACGCCCAAGTCCCAAATCAAGATACGGACCTACTGGAATTATCAAAACATTAATCCAGGTCCGTTTGCTCAAAATATTGATTAAAGTCAACTTAGTTGAGTTTTAAAGCTCTATTTTATATTTTAATCCATGTTTCACATAAAAACTTTTCAGAAAATTGTACGGACTGTGCACGCAAGTCGATGAATGATAAATGGTGCTTTTCAAGGTCTTAGAACACAGAATTACTTATTAAATTTAAAGATGACATTTTGGGTCATCACAGAAAATTATTATCATGCTAGGGTTAGATAATTTTATAGCTTTCAATTATATTGATTATGATTATGCTAGGGTTTAATTCTTTTAATTATTTATTCTATTAGTTTAATTATAATTTATGATTAATGATAGGGTTAATTCTTTTAATTTAACTAATTTTAATTATGATTAATGTCAGGGTTAGCTAATTTTATGTCATTTAATTATATTTCCCTTTAATGGTCTAATTGAATTTAAAAAAAATTATTTAGGGATATATATATATATATATATATATATATATATATATGAACTTTCAAATTAATAAGCACTCAAATTATTTAAATTAATTATATTAAAACTAAAGTTTATTATGTAACTTAATTCTATAAATTAATTTGAACTATGATTAATATGATTTATTCGTTCTTTATGTAGATGGAATATCGTAGTTGGATGTATAATAGGAATTATCCTAATCGTCATTTTTTGAGGGAGGAATTTATAGAAGGGGTTAAGAAATTTATTACGCATCCAACGCCACTTGAACCGTCTCGGATTGGAGGGTTGATTAGGTGTTCTTGTGTGAAGTGCAAGTGTTTGTATTTTTTTGGATCGGAGGATGTTAAGGCTCATCTTTAGAAAAAAAGGTTTATGGATAATTATTTTGTGTGGACTAATCATGGAGAGATTGATGGTAGTGATGGTGTATTTCATAACGTAGTTGTTGGTGAAAGTAGTAGGTCGGTGGGGAATAACGTTCAACATCCTAGATACCATAAAATGGTTGCGGATGCTTTTGGGATGCACTTCGATTTTGAAACCCATGAAAGTATTGAACAACCTCCTAACGAAGAGGCAAAATATTTTTATGAACAGTTAGAGGCCGTTAGTCGTCCACTAAGGGAAGGGAATAGCTGCTCTTGTTTATTTAATGTAATTGCTATGTTGCATGTTCATTCCTAATCATCAAGTTACAAAGATAATCACTGATATTCTTGGCGGATTGTATAATGCACCCTATCCGACTTGGAGTGACTTTCCAGAGGATCTTGTGCAACAAATGTTCAACCAATTTAAGGTTTTAATACAATTCTTATCTATTTAAGCATTATATTAAGAATATTTTCATCAAACATTACATACTTTATTTACAGACTAAGTGTGCCTGGGAGGACCGGTATAATCGTGAAATTTGTGCAAATTGGGAGTACAAATATCGTAAGAGACTCTCTAATCTTTCTGCTCCGCTCGAAAGGTTAACAAGAAGCCTTCATGGGTTCTACCGGATTTATGGGAGGATCTGCAGAGGTATTGGGCCACCGAGAAATTCGAGAAGCAGAGTGAACTGGGAAAGAAGGCCCGAGCATCTAAGAAGGTGGCTCCTTGCACTGGCTGGTTTCAAGGAGCATGGGGGATACAAGGAGACAACTGGTAATTCCTTAAAATATTTCGGTATATTTTTATCGAACTATATTTATATATGTTAATTTTGTTAACACATTTTATTATATTTGTAGGAAAAAAATATGGGATGAAGATGAGTCATGATGAGTTCTTCATGGAGACTCACATCCGGAAGAAGAAGGCACCGACAGATCCAACTAGATGGGTTGAGGACCGGGCGGAGATTGCACATGTAAGTTTCATAACTACTATAAATGTTTATAATATTATATAGTTAGTAATTTTCTATCTTCTAAATAAAGGGTTCTACAAGATTAATGTGGAGGAGTACACTTAGAGCTTGCCACCGAATGAGCAAGGCGAGCGATCGCCCATTTCAGATGAAGAAGCGCAGAGGATATGGTTGGATGTTGTCGATGGTCCTAAAAAGGGGATAGCATACGGCCTTCCAGATAAATTATTTCGGCGCTATAGGGCTGAATTGCAAAGTATAGGGACTTCCGTCCAAGGCGAAGCGATTGATAGGTCGACTATATCGTCTATGGAACAGAAGATCGCAAAGATGACAACAGTGTATTGCTAAACAAAGTATTGAACTTGTCAATATTTAGTTGAGACTAGTTTTGAATGATGATTATATTGTTATTTTGTTGTTGAATATTTTAGTAGTTATTGTTGTGGTTGTTATTAGTTGTTGTGGTTGTTATTAGTTGTTGTTGTTGTTGTTAGATAATGGTTGTTAGTGTTAGTTAATAGTTTTTATTAGTTAATTGTTGTTGTTGTTGTTGTTGTTAGTATATTCATTGTTATTGATTAATTATAGTTAAATGACAGCAATGTAATGCTGCCATTATAGGATGAATATTGGTTGTAATTGGCAGGTGGTGTAGCTCAAAAATAGGCATTTTCTGCCCAGTTTTTACCCAGATTTCCGATCGAATTCGGTCGGAAATTATGAATTTATATTTATTTTTTAAATAAATCAATAATTTATTACAATTTACAATTAATTATTTAATTAAATATTTTTTTTTTAAAATTTCCAACCGAATATGGTCGGAAAATAAAAATTAAAAAATTAAAAAATTAAAAAATTATTTGAAAATTAAAAAAAAAATATTTAATTGTTTCCGACCGATTTCGGTCGGAAATTAAAGTTTGACAGTCAGTCAACGCTTTGATGTTTCCGACCGATTTCGGTCGGTACACGTTTGCGACCATCGTTTTCCCGACCAATTAAAATCGGTCGGAATTAGGTCGGAAATTATCAATTTCTGACCAGTTTCGGTCGGAAATAGCAGACGGAATTACACTGTTTTTTAGTAGTGCTAGTTGAATGCATGTAATTTTGTGAATTAATATTTCAAATAACCACATTAGAGATGAGAGAAACTGAGCGAGGAGATTGACTTGCAGTAAAAGTAGAAATGGTCAGTTAACAGAATTAGAATGGACACCTTGCAAGAATTCATGAAACTCTATTGATAGTACTGCTATTATTTTTTTATACACCTATAGTCTTATGCAGAGAGCAACGTGAAGAATGTTTGTAGGCCTTTAGATTCAGGTTCTTGCTCTTGTGTTGTCTCTCTCTTCTCTTTTTGTGCTTCTTTCTCGTCGTGAGAATTTGGAAGAAATCCAAGAGCATCATATTGCTTCATGATACATATATTAAGATAGAAGGTAATTGTTGAGTACATTAATGAAGCGCTGCCTTTTTTCTTTTTTTTTTTCCTTCTAGTGTTTCATGATGGTTTGAAGCGCTACTTTAGATGTTAGGCGTCAGTTTTTTTTAAAGTTAGGGTAATTAAGTTTTTAAAAGGGTAAGTGGGTAATTTAATTTTTAACTTTAGGCATTTCTACTTTAAACAAGCCCTACTATTAAATCTACACTTTACCACATATTTGACCAAAGTAATGTTGATGAGATCATGATAATGCAAATTACTCGCATTGTTGCATTTATTAAATCAATAAGTGTATGCCATATATATTTTTACATAAGTTTTATTACTTTTACATGGTTAATTGATATATATTCTTATCACAATCCATCACTAAACTATGGTAAGTTAGCATGACTTTTTTGCATGTACCAAGTGTAAATTGTTTGCTTTTGTAAACGGTAAGATGATTTAATTTTCATTAATCAAAAAATATTAAGATGATTTAGAATTGGCCTAATAATAATAATTTCTTTAATCAAATCAATTAAGTTCTTCAATGAAATAAAAATATGGAAATTCTAGCGATTTGAAAAAAGAATAGTTCAAAATTTCCAAATTATAAAAAGTTGCTTTGGTCATTAAAAGGAATGAAACTAACAGACTACTAATGTTTATAGGATTTTTAGTTTCTTAAACGGATCGGAGTTACAGCTGTGTTTTTCCGGTGTCCTAATTTTAGTTTCCAAAATTGAAAGAATCTGTCTATATATATATATATATTCCTAAACCCACCTTGGACTCCTAAACCTGCGATACGCTCTTTCTTATTCACATTCTGACAAAGTGTTTTGTGCCATTTTTCTTCAAAGTCTTCAAGAAAGAAGGGAACCCATGGAGAAGAATGTTCAATTTCGTCTCTCTGACACTAATCTGATAATGCAATTGTTGAAATTTTTGGCTGGAAAATGCTTACCAACTGAAGGATTGATTGGCTTTGTAGATATTTACAGCAAAGAGCCATGGCAGTTAATTGGAGACATTAGTTCCAAGAAAACCCATTACTTCCTCTCCCAATTGAAGAAGAAGAAACCCACTGATGCTCGATTCAAAAGAACTACTGGTAATGGGAGTTGGACACAGCAGAATAAAGGCAAGAAAATTCTTGATGAAGATGGAAGTCTGATTATTGGGTATAAAAGAAGCTTGAGTTACAAGCACAAGAAAGACTCCTCTTTGAATGGCCGCTGGTTGATGATGGAGTATTTCTTGGCTGACTCTCTTCTTCAGGAGTTGAAATCTAACGAAGCAAAAGAGTTTGTAATATGTGCGATTATGAAGAACCCCAGATCGGAAATCAGAGGAAACACTGATGCTACTATTGTAGAGTATAAGAGGTTCATTGATCGTGTCTTGCAAGAAGGGGTTCATCTCCAAACCTCAGAACCCTCACAACAGAGTATTATGATTTTGTCTAAGAACAGTCCTATGATGTCGGAGAGCACTTCCTCTGATGTTTTATCTATGGGACAATTAGAACAAAATAATGGAATGCTGGTTCAGACTGATTCTGATGAATTCTTTGGAATACTGAACGTTCAAAATCAAGAATGCTATTATCAGGAAGGTGATGAGGAGGAATTTGATTGGGATTCTTTTTTGGATTTTGATGATCATGGTTTTGTGCAGAATGACTTGGTTTACTAATTCTGGAAAGTTGAACCTTAATGATGTTTTTGAAAAGGGAATTTTTGATTTTGGAGTTTCTTTGCATCCAAGATTTTTTTAAAATTAAATTAGGGTACTTTTAATGGGTATATCTGTGAGATCTTAGGGATTTAGGAGCATGATTCTGACATTGACTTATGTTAGGAGTATAAACTGTTATTCCCGGTCAATATTCCTGTATTTGTAAATATTAATTCTGCAAAATATAAGTTAAAGTAGTGAAACAATAATAATAAATTCGAGCCCACTGAATTCACAGTGTTTCCTTAAGGAATTTAATCC